GAAGATTTGTGGGTGTGTGTATACCCCAGATCCCACCATGCATCCTTGGAAGATGTGGTTTTCAGAGCATGTTAGAGTATTCTAAGGTAAAACCATTGAAAAGTTGTGAAATGTGGCTAAATCCTAGTAAACTGTGAAAATGGGCACAAGGAGATAGAGAAAGCTGAAGAGTTGTATGGCTTGTCAGTCAGTAGGACCAATAATGGTAAGTTTCCTCGGCCCTGGCAAACTATACAAAATGGGAAAGTGTTCTTCCATGCTTGTGGATTTGGTTCTGGAGAGAGATAAAGAAGATATACTCTGTAACTCTCTCCGTGAACACACAACATCAGTACCAAAATCACACAAGAAAGGCAGGAAGAATGAAATTTGAGACCAGCGTGCTCCCGGTAACAAGGCCAAAATTGTAAATTAAATGTTACCGGAAGGAATTCAGCAGTGTATCCAAGGGTTAGAGATTGCTGATGGAAGTCCAACTCCAGGATTGCACTTTGGACTTAACCTTGACAACATTAATAGATAGAAAGCTTGACTTTGAGAGATCGAATGTGGAAAGACTTGGTCATCTCCATGAGTATAGAATCAGTCTGGGAGATTGTTTCTTTCTAAGAATTTGTTCATCTCTTCCACCTTTTCATTTTATTGGTATATAATTGCTTGTAGTAGTCCCTTATGATCCTTTGTATTTCTGTGGTGTCTGATGTAACGTCTTCATTTTCATTCTGATTTTATTGATTTGAGTTATCTCCCTTTTTTTCTTGATGAATCTGGCTAAAGGTTTATTAATTTTCTTTATCTTTTCAAAGAACTAGCCTTTAGTTTCCTTGATCTTTGCCGTAGTTTTGTCTCTTTTTCATTTATTTCTACTCTAATCTTTAGGATTAATTTCTTCCTACTAAGTTTGGATTTTGTTTGTCCTTTCACTAATTGTTTTAGGTATAGAGTTAGATTGTTTATTTGAGATTTTTCTTGTTTCTTGAGGTAAGATTGTATTGCTATAAACTTCCCTCTTACAATTGCTTTTGCTGCATGCCTTAGGTTTTGGATCATTGTATTTTCATTTTCATTTGTCTCTAGGTATTTTTCGATTTCCTCTTTGATTTCTTTACTGATTCACTGGCTGTTCAGTAGCATATTGTTTAGCCTCCATGTGTTTGTATGTTTTATAGTTTTTTTTCTTGTAGTTTATTTCTAATCTCATAGCATCGCTATTGGAAAAGGTGCTTTCAGTTTTGAAATGTTTTCACTGAAATACTTTCATTGAAAAGATTATTTCAGTTTTCTTAAATTTCCAAGGCTCACCTTGTGGCCCAGCATGTGGTCAATCCTGGACAGTGTTCTGAGTGCACTTGAGAAGAATGTGTAGTTTGGTGCTTTTGGATGAAATGCTCTGTAAATGTCAATTAAGTCCATGTGATCTAATGTTTGATTTAAGGCCTGTGTTTCCTATTAATTTTCTGTCTGGATGATCTGCCCACTGACAAAAGAGGTGTGTTAAGTCCCCCACTATTATTATGTTACTGTTGATTTCTCCCTTTATGGTTGTTAGTATTTGCCTTATATATTGATGTGCTCCTATGTTGGACACACATATATTTACAATTGTTATATCTTCTCTTTAGATTGGTCCTTTGATCATTAGATTAGACGAGATGTTTGGATGGCATCACCAACTTGATGGGCATGAGTTTGAGTAAGCTCCAGGAGTTGGTGATGGACAGGGAAGCCTGGCATGCTGCAGTCCATGGGGTCGCAAAGAGTCGGACACAACTGAACGACCTAACTGAACTGAACTTTAATCATTATGTAGTGTCCTTCTTTATCTCTTATAACAGTCTTTGTTTTAAAATCTGTTTTGTCTGAGCATTACCACTCCAGCTTTGTCATGATTTCCATTTGCATGGAATATCTTTTTCCATCCCCTCACTTTCAGTCTGAGGTGGGTCTCTTGACAGCGTACACACAGGTCTTGTTTCTGTGTCCACTCAGTCAGTCTGTGTCTTTTGGTTGATGCATTTAATCCATTTACATTTAAGGCAGTTATCAATATGTATGCTTCTATTACCATTTTCTTAATTGTTTTTATTTGTTTTGTACGTCTTTTCCTTCTTTTGCATTTCCTGCCTAGAGAAGTTCCTTTAGCATTTGCTATAAAGCTGATTTGGTGGTGTTGAATTCTCTTAACTTTTTCTTGTCTATCAAGTTTTTGATTTCTCCATGAAATCAGAAGTAGAGCCTTGCTGTGTAGAGTATTTTTGGTTATAGTTTCTTCTCTTCCATCACTTTAAGAATATTGTGCTTCTGTTGTCTGCCCTCTGGTGGATGAGGCTATCTAAGAGGCTTGCGCAAACTTCCTGATGGAAGAGACTGATGGTGGGTAGAATTGGGTCTTGCTCTGGTTTGCAGGGAGCGTTCAGTAACTTAAATCCGCTTGTTTGCTGATGGGTGGGTCTGCCCGTCCTCTCTGTTAGTGTTTTGACCTGAGGTGACTCTTGCCTGGTATCCACAGGCTCTAGGGTAGGGCTAATGGTGGAGACCTCCAGGAGGGCTCACGCCTACAGGTGCTTCCGTCAGTACCCTTATCTCCGTGGTGAGCCGCTGCCAACCCACACCTCCACAGGGGACCCTCTGATGCTAGCAGGCAGGTCTGGTTCGGTCTCCTGCGGGGTCACTGCTCCTTTCCCCCAGGTCCTGATGTGCCCAGGATTTTGTGTGTGCCCTCCAGGAGTGGAGCTTCTGTTTCCCCAGGGCCTGTAGAAATCTGCAGTCAAATCCTTCAAGTCAGATGCCCTGGGGATTACTAGTCTCTTTGGCAGATCCCAAGGGTGGGAAGCCTGATGTGCGGCTCAGAACCTTCACAGCAGTGGGAGAACCTCTGTGCTATAATTGTTTTCTGGATCACGGGTTGCCCTCCTGGTGGGTATGGGATTTCCTTTGATCATGATTGCACCCCTCCTGCCGTCTGTTGTGGCGTCTCCTTTGTCTTTGGACTTGGGGTATATTTATTGGTGGGTTCAAGCCTAGTCCTGCTGATGGTTGTTCAACAGTTAGTTGTGATTTTGGTGCTCTTCCAGGAGGAGGTGAGTGCATATCCACTCTGCTGCCTTGAACTAATCTCCATGAGTACAGATCAAATGGTTGATTGAACTTGAATGTTACACACTAAAAAAAAAAGTTAATAATACTGATCACCAGTTCCTGCCATAAAATTCTTAGCAAATGTATAAAAGTATTCTTTTTTAAAATTAACGTTACATAATTCATTCGACAACAACAAAAAGAGCAAGGTCTGTCTGGAAATATTTGATGTGAGAGACGATACATGTAGGCCTCTGCAACCACTGAGTTGAGTAACGAGGAAATAAAATCAATAGCAAACAGTTCTGAAAAACTCAAAGTGAAATTTGCTGATGTTGTGATGATCAACTCAGACAATCTCAGAGATAAATTATTAGACTGTATAATTCTAGAGTAGAATTAGTATGTAAAAAATCAATATGCAGAAAACATTTCTACATACAAGTCCTGGCAAAGAATGCTTGGCAAATGAAATTTGTGTGCAAGAGTTAGAGAAGTATAATTGTATCATGAGTCTAATTTCAGGTCTGATAGAAGTTGCTAAGAGGATGTGTGTGGGGAAATTATTCAAGATTCTTGAGAGGCAGAGGTTGAAATAGATGGGTAGAAATCTGAGGGAGAAATAAAAAATTATTATTAAAAATCAAAATGGAACAAAGTATGTTTCTAATTGTCAGATGAAAGAATAGCAGGCAGATTCCAAAGGCATGGTACAGTCAATATGTGGTTTTCTCGAAGAATGTTCGTTCAGTGGGAGCATTTATTGGTACCCAATGTTAGAAGTTATCATAAGGCAGCAGTTTTCAAGATAAGGGGATTCCAGTGCAGGGGAAATTAGCACATCAGAGGGGCAGAATAGTGAGCTCAGAAACAGTTCCTTGCATGAATGGATTCCTGCACCAGCCACCCCTCTCCCCTCCCCTGACATGTTCCGTCTGTTACTCTGTTGTCTATCAGAGAAGTTGAGAAAGGGTACGGTCTTCAAATATTGTGGTTGCATCACTGAACTATACAGAAAGCTTAAGTTGTGATTCACACCACACACAAAAGTCAACTTGTAGTAAATTAGAAACCTCAGTGTAAAAGGTAAAACCCAAAAACCCCTCAGATGATATTTTTAAAGATTTAAGGTAAGGAAAGATTTCTTAAATAGAACACAGCACTCTACAATGAAAGAGATGAGAAGATGTGAGAACTATTGAAAGGAAAACGTTTGATTTATCAGAGGAATTGATTGAAGAGTAAAAATGGTAGTCACAGAGTTGGAAATATCCTTAAATCCTAATTCTGTGTCATTCTCTGGTGTTTAAATGGATAAAGAGCGGCCAGAGGTGAAGCGAGAAAAGAGAGCGCCCACTATCGGTAGTTGTGAAAAGCTTTGAATAGTGTTGCTGGGAAGGAGAACACAGTCACAGGGAGAGAACCCAGTGCTAAGGGAAATGGGGTTCAGCTTCCTCAATCCTCATGCAGTGTGAAAAGAGCCAGGGGGAGGTGTAAGCACCAGCAGATTGCCATCAGCTGACAGCAGTAAGAACAGGAAAGGGTGCTGAGCCAGCTCCATGGACTGCAGGTGAGACGTCCCTGCATGATAGTAGGGAGACGACTGCGGGTCCATCTAGGAAGGCTAGGGAACAGTTGCCTCATCACCCTGCTGATGCTAGGAGCAGGGGATCTTTTCCAATGGCGCCCCCGGACCAGCTCAGAAGGACCCGTGGGGAATGTTTAAATTGTGTGTCTTTTGCTGAGAAACGCAGGGTCCTCCTCAGGGCACAGGGCTGGTGCAGAGCCTGAGAGTCTACAGCTCCAATGCCCCTTCCCAACACCCCACAGCCCACCTCCCCATCCAGGTCTTCTCTGCCCGGGGCTGCCGTCCTGACTGAGCTGGGGTCTCTGACCCTGTGCATCCCCCTCTGTGTCCCCAGAGCCCTCGGTGGTGTTCGCCAAGGAGCAGCCGGCACGCAGTGACGTGCAGGCCGTGGCGGGAACCAGCGCCACGCTGAGCTGCGAGGTGGCCCAGGCCCAGACGGAGGTGACGTGGTACAAGGACGGCAAGAAGCTGAGTTCGAGCTCGAAAGTGCGTGTGGAGGCCACGGGCCGTGGGCGGCGGCTGGTGGTGCAGCAGGCGGGCAAGGCGGACGCCGGGGAGTACAGCTGCGAGGCCGGGGGCCAGAAGGTCTCCTTCCACCTGGACGTCACAGGTCAGTCCTGGAGGAGGACGCTGAGCTAGCCTGTGTGCAGGTGATGAGGGGCCTGACTTCCAGACTCACCAGACTCATGTGTGCACTTACCTGGTGCCTTTATCTCTCCATATCTCCCTGTCTTTCATGCCCCATCTTGACACCTGTCTGGGCTCAGGGGTGGGTGGATGGAGAGGAGGGTGGGGGTTGACAGAAGAAGGATTGTTTCTGTCTGCCTATTTCCAGGCAGTGAGGCTCGTCACACTGTCTTAGCATCTGCCCAGAACGTTCCTGTTGTTCCTGGTGTCGGGATCCTGACTCTCCTTGAAGCTTGGGGCTGAAGTAGATATGGAGATAACTTTCTTCTCATCAGGTGTTTTTTCTGACAGCCACCATGTGCCCTCATCCAGGACCTCATGTAGATTCTTGGTTGATCTGAACTGTTTCAATTTGATGAATCCCAGATTCATCAAAAAGTCATCAAAAAATTCATCAAAAATTCATTGTTTCTTTGGGGTGGTGGAAATGTTGGCCACATGACCTTGGAATTATCTCAGGAGTGAACTTTGAATGATAAAATATTAGGTTTCTGGTAGGCCTTTCCTTCCTTTTGCTGGATGTGGAAGCTCTTATTGCCTGTAGGTAGCAAGAAATTGGCCCATGTTTTCTTGTCACGTCCTTGAAAAGGGAATTAGAAAGGATGATATGTATAGTCACCAGTGCTGTTTAGGGTGATCATCTTAGGTAAATATGGATTTTTCATTGGCTTCAGAAGGTTGGATGATCCAGGTCAATATTTCCCTTGGTGTTATTGATGAGTTTAGGAATGGAAAGGAAAAAGGCACTCCTACCACATCAGTAGTTTTTGCTAATGAGGAGTTGTTATTTTCTCAGTCTCTGACTCACAAAGCAGTCTTTATTTTGTTCTATTTTCCAAATGTTCAGTGAGTGTGTGTTCCTTGTGGCTAGAACATAGGATAGTCCCAGAAGTAAGGTTATTATTCTTCTGGGAAAAAATTACTCCATGGGAAATAGAGATGGGTTGCCATCCCACATTGACTGTTAGGTGCCAACACATACCAGTTTGGGACCATGCCAGTGTAGGTTTGTATTTTCGTGGGTTTGTACAACTTGAGATCTCACATGGTTAGTTGTTTGTGGTTAGTTGTTGTCAGAAAATGTCAGTGACTATTCTAAGGTAAAAGTATTGGGATATTGTAAAATGTGGCTCAACCCCAGTAAACTATGTGAAAGTGAACAAAAGAAGATAGAGAAAAGTCAGAGTTGTATAACTTGTCAATCGTTAAGACCAATAATGAAAAGTCTTCTCAACCCATGGTTCTCTGGTACACTGTAAATAATTACCTGGAAAACTGTTACTCCATCCTTGTGAAGAAGGTCCTGGAAGGTAGAAAGAAAGTACACCCCATAACTCTCTTAATGTACAGGACATAACATCAACTAAAATCACACAGTGAAAGAAGAGAGGATGAAATTTCTGACCAGTATACTGTCAATATTCAGGCCCAAATCAAAGATTAAATGTTATCAAGGTAGATTCAGTAGTGTATCTGAGGGTAGAGATCAGTGATTCTAGTCCAGGGTTGCACTTTGGGTTTAACTTTGGCAATGTTAATAGACAGAAAGCTTGACTTAAATAGATTGAATGAAAAAAGATGTCATTTCCACGAATACAGAATCAAGTGGTTGATTAAATTGGAGAGATAAAAAATTTGATAGTATTGAACAAATCAATTCCCGCTTTAAAATTCTTAGCAAGCTATGTAAAACTGTTCTTTTTTTAACGTTGTAAACTTCCTACAAAGCAACAACAGCAACAGCAACATCAACACCCCCCTTAGGACACGCCAGGAGATCTTTGATGTGAGGGACGGCACACTTAGGCCACTGGAACCACTGAGTTCAGTAAGGAGGGGAATAAAATCGCCGGCAAACAGGTTTGAGAAAATCAAAATCAAGGTGGAATTTGCTGATGACGTGATAATCAGCTGAGATCATCTCAATGATAAATTATTAGACTGTGTATGATTTTCGAGTTGGATTAGTGTGTAAAAAAATCAATATGCAGAAAACATTTGTGCATCTGAGTCCTGGCAAGGGATGCTTGGAATAAGAAATTTGTGTGAAAGAGTTAGACTAGCACAATTGTCCCATGTTTCTATTTTCAGGTCTGATAAAAGTTGGTAAGAGGCTGTATGTGGGGAGATTATGTAAGATTCTCGAGAGACAGATTGCAAAGTTGGATAGAAATCTGAGAGGAAAAATCAAAGATGTTCATTAACAATCAAAATCAAACCACATGTGTTTTAGGGTGTTCTGAAGGAAGAATAACCGGCCGATTCCAAAGGCACTGTGCAACCAGTGCTTTGTTTTCTTGAAGACATGCACAGTGTGAGCATTTACTGTACCTGATGTCAGGGATTACCATAAGGCTGTAGTTGTAAAGATAAGGGGATCCCAGTACAGGACTAGTTACCTCCTCAGAGAAACAGAACTGTGAGTTCAGAAAGAGTTCTTGCATAAATGGACTCTTGCTCCACGCATCCCCTACACCTGTGTCTTCGTTTCTCACTGAGTGGTCTATTGGAGAAGTCAAGGAAGGATGTTGTATTTGTAAATGGTACTTAGACCACTGAATCATATGGGAAATTAAATTGTACTATCTATTCATGTAACACACAAAGGTCAACTCATAGTGAGTTAGAAACCTTAGTGTAAAAGGTAAAACCCCCCAAACCCTCAGCTGATAACGTGGTCTTTTTTGAAGACGTAGGGTAAGGAGAGATTTCTTAAATAGAACACAGATGATCTATACTCCAAGGCCTATTGGACATTATGACACTGTTGGAAGGAATAGCTCTGGTTTATCAGAGGACTGGATCAGAGAGTAAAAATGCCAACCACGCAGTTGGGAATATCCTTAAAACCTACCTGTCTCATCATTCTCTTGTTTTTGAGTGGAAAGGAGTGGCCAGAGGTGAGTGGAGAAAAGAGAGAGCCAGCTATGGGGAGGTGGGCAAAAGGCTTCAATAGTGTCATCAACAAGAAGAAAGCAGTGATGGCAATCCCAGCCCTAAGGGGAAGGGCGATCAGCTTCTTAATTCCTCAGACAGTGATAAAGAAGGCCCCCGGAGGGGCTCAAACACTCCCAGCAGATAGCCACAAGTTAACAATAGTAACAGTAGGCAAGGGTGCCAAGCCTGAGACATCGTCTTTGTTGACTGCAGGCGAAAACGTCCCTGCGTCACCATGTGGAGATGGCAGGGCACCACATAGGAAGATTGGGGAGCACTTGCTTCATGACTCTACAGATGCCATAGCAGAGGAGAAGTATTTTCCAGCAGTGCCCCCACCCTTAGACCAGCTTACAGGAATCCATGGGAGAATGTGTAAATTGTGCCACTCATTCCTGAAAAAGGCGGAGGGGTCCTCTTCAGGGCATAAGGCTGGTGCAGAACCTGGAGAAGTCTCCAGTTCTGTGCCTCCTTCCCACCTGACCATCACCTCCCCATCCAGGTCTTCTCTGCCCGGGGCTGCCGTCCTGACTGAGCTGGGGTCTCTGACCCTGTGCATCCCCCTCTGTGTCCCCAGAGCCCTCGGTGGTGTTCGCCAAGGAGCAGCCAGCACGCAGTGACGTGCAGGCCGTGGCGGGAACCAGCGCCACGCTGAGCTGCGAGGTGGCCCAGGCCCAGACGGAGGTGACGTGGTACAAGGACGGCAAGAAGCTGAGTTCGAGCTCGAAAGTGCGTGTGGAGGCCACGGGCCGTGGGCGGCGGCTGGTGGTGCAGCAGGCGGGCAAGGCGGACGCCGGGGAGTACAGCTGCGAGGCCGGGGGCCAGAAGGTCTCCTTCCACCTGGACGTCACAGGTCAGTCCTTGGAGGCAGTCAGTCAGCCTTATGTGGAGGTGATGGGCCGGGCTTGCACCCCTGACTGACCCGATGGTCTTTCCACTGGACTTCAACTCTTTTGGTCTTCGGTCCTCCCACCCCCATTTTCATACCCAAGGCTGGGCAAAGGGAGCTGGATGGGAGGCTGTGAACAGAAGGGAGAAAGGCGTTCTGTGAACCCAGAGTGGCATTTCCACACGGTGATGCACGGTCGTCAGTTCCCAGCATCTGCCCAGGGTCTTCTGGGTGTTCCCTGGTGTCTGGGCCTCTGGTTCTGTCTTGCACTTGGAGTCTGATGTGAACCAGATGTCTTTGAACTGTGGGCATGTGAATTCGCTCCTCTTGGCTGTCCTGACAGCTCCTCAGTGGCCCACCCAGCAATGCCTCTGGGTTCCCACTAGGAAGAGATGTTTGAATTTCATTAAACCAGGACCAACACTGTCTTACTTGATTTATCTCAAGACTGAATTATGGACTACCAAAATTGTAGGTGTTCTGGACACTCTTTCTCCTTATACATGGGACTAGAAGTTATCTGTGTATCTACATATAACAAAATCTAGGTACATTTTCAAAGCAAATACTGAGTTTATTATGTCTTTTGTTACAACATTCTGATTCAGAATTCTGCTTAGAGTCTGATTTATAGATTTGGACAGGAATGGTAGCTTCTCCTATACCAGCATGCATTTGTTTTTTAAAATGGTATTTTAGGAGAATAGACAATTTTTTCATGGCAATAAATATGAAAGATTTGACAAATTGATCAGATTCTTGGAAAACTCTATGAAGAGTGACTCAGGAAACATTCAACTACTTAAATAGTCCTAAAACCTTTAAAGTAATTGGAACCATAATGAAAAGTCTTCTCATAGAGAAAGGTCTAGTCCCAGTAGTTCCACTGGCAAATTACATGAAATACTTTGGAAAAAAAGTCTTGTTCATGGAGATTTTTTTAGAGAACAGTGAAAGGAGGTACAGTCTCTGTTTCATGTTGATGATATAACATTGATACAAGTATCTGACAGGGAAAGTAGTAAGAATTAAAATTGTAGACCAATCTATTATGGATATCAAGGCCAAAATCTGGAACAAAATATCAAAATTAAGAATATAATAAGAGGAAAATTGGTAATATGCTGTGATGAAAGTCATATTCCAGAAATACAAGGTTATTTATACACTACAAACATTGGCAAGCAATCTGTTCATGATATGCAGAATAAAGTACTTGATAAGATTTGGCATCTTAAATACAGAAGAAATGTTTTATAAAGTTAGCATCAAATCATGCCATAAAATTCTTTATGAATTATACAGAAAGCAATTCTTTCTTAATTTGATAAACAATGCCGCAGGCAAGCACACAAAAAAAGTGACAGTTTTAAAGCTTTGCCTTTGAGATAGGAAACCAGACAAGGAAGCCAACTGTTACTGCTTTTGTCCAACATTCTAAAACACAGTTAGGACAAAAATAAAGTGAAAGATATAAAGATATAAAAGTGTGAGAAAGCAAAAGTGGAATTCATGGATAATATGATTTATCCAAAAGATAAAATATGCGCCATAATAAGACACTTAAAAATGATTACCATGTAAAAAATCAGTATGAAGAAAACACTTCTATAAGTAGTAACAGACATCTCAAAAGTGAAATTTTGAAAGTTACAATGGCATGAAAAGGATCAGTATCTAAATTCCAAGTCTAATAAATGTGCTGAGAGGCTCTGTAAGGGCAGAGAGATGTTAAAAAAATTTTTTAAGAGACAGTCAAGATGTTCTAAGATGTTGGATAGAAATCAATTGAAGAATAAAACATGTTCAATACCCATTAAAATTCAAACAAATGTTTGTTTAGTGGGACTTTGAAAATTGACACATAAATTTCAAAGACCATGTGCAGTGAATTCACTCTTTTTTTTTTCATTTATTTTTATTAGATGAATTCACTCTTGTAGAAGAACAAAAGGAGAGTTATTTGCTGTACTAGATATCAACACTGTTAGAAAGCTACAGTAATGCATACAGTAGTGTCTTGTTGCGAGGATAGGTATTGAGACCAAAGGACCAGAAAAATGATCTCAGACACAGACCTATGAGTGGATGACCATGTTCCCCTTCTTTTTAAAGAAAACTGTGGAATAGTGCAAGGGGAAAGACAGCATGTTCTTAATAAATGGTACTTAAACCATTTAACCATAGTAAATCAATAGGAAAAAAAAGATCAGACTTGTAACTCATCCCACACATAGTCAACTCCTTTTGGAGTTGAAGGGAATAGAAGGGAAAACCGTACAATTCTTTTTCTAAAAATGTATTTACTTTTGGTTGGGCTGGGTCTTTGTTGCTGCATGTGGACTTCGCCTGTGGTCCGCAGGGGCTGTTCTTCACTGCTGTGCACGGGCTTCTCATTGAGTCACTTCCCTTGTTGTGGAGCACAGGCTCTAGGCACACAGGCTTCAGTAGTTGCAGGAGGCAAGCGCAGAAGTTGCAGCTCTCAGGTTCAGCAGTTGCAGCTCGTGGGCCCTCGAGTGCAAAGGTTTCGGTGGTGGTGGCCGTGGGCTCAGTGGTTGCGGCTTCTGGGTTCTAGAGCTGGAGCTCAGTAGTCGTGGTACATGGGTCTAGTTGTTCTTAGACTCACGTGAACTCTCCTTGTGTCCCCTGCATTGCAGTGCAGGCAGGTTCCTCAAGTCCTCATAAAGCTCTTAGATGAAAACATAGATGATTTTAATTACTTAAGGGTAAAGAATGATTTCTTAGAATGTTCGCCTGCCATAATGAGTGGGGTGCCATTTCCTTCTCCAGAGGATCTTCCCAACCTAGGTACTGAACCCTAGTCTCTTGCATCTCCTGCATTGGCAGGCGGATTCCTTATTGCTAGCACCTCTTGGAAGCTCTCAACCATACTGAAGCAAATTTGAAATGCTTTAATATATTGAAACTAAACATGAAGATTCACCAGAAGATAGCGTTAAGTTCGTAAAAGGCAAACCACACAGATATGGAAGGTATTTAGAACACACATACTTGTCAGTCAGTGCCTAGCATTGGAGAAGGAAATGGCAACCCACTCCAGTGTCCTTGCCTGCAGAATCCCGGGGACGGGGGAGCCTGGTGGGCTGCCGTCTGTGGGGTCGCACAGAGTCGGACACGACTGAAGCGACTTAGCAGCAGCAGCAGCATTTAAATATAAATAAATAAACAAGTCCTTCAAATAAATAAAGGACAGATGGTGCTATTGAAAATAAGGCAAAAACTTTGAACAGTGACAACACAGAAGAGCAAACAGTGTTGAGCAAAAAAATCAGAAAATTTTTCACTTTGGGTCATTAGAAAAAATGCAAAAGAGCACCACAGGAGGCGCACTCATTCCCACCAGGTTGCCAACGGTGAGAGTAGGTGAGGGCGGAGCCTCAGCGAGTCCCATTCACTGCAGATGAGAACATGGGTTACGCAGTACTGTGGGAAAGACTCTGGGCTCACGAGGAAGGCTAGGAATGCACCCAGGATGACCCACCAGTTTGGTTTGAATAGTGTCACCAGGAAGAAAACAGTAATGGCAAACCCAGTCCTAATGGTAAAGGTGGTCAGTTTCTCCATTCCTCAGACAGTGAAAGAGAAGACCATGGGTAGGTGTAAGCGTACAAGGTGACAATAGCATGAATAGGCGTGGGTGCTGAGCCTGACATCTCCATGGACTGCAGGTGAGAAGTTCCCCGCATAGCCATATGGGGAAGACTGGGCCACCATCTAGGAAGGTTAGGGAACACTCGCCTCGTGAACCTGCAGATGCCATGCACAGAAGACCAGTCTTTTTCATGGCCCCCCTGCCAACTGATCCAGCTTACACAGAGAATGCACAAATGTGTGACTTGTTGCTGAGAAAGGCAGGGAGACCTCTGCGGAGCACAGGGCTGGTGCAGAGCCTGAGAGTCTCCATGCCCCTTCCCACCACCCCACGGCCCACCTCCCCATCCAGGTCTTCTCTGCCCGGGGCTGCCATCCTGACTGAGATGGGGTCTCTGACCCTGCGTATCCCTCTGTCCCCAGAGCCCTCGGTGGTGTTCGCCAAGGAGCAGCCGGCACGCAGTGACGTGCAGGCCGTGGCGGGAACCAGCGCCACGCTGAGCTGCGAGGTGGCCCAGGCCCAGACGGAGGTGACGTGGTACAAGGACGGCAAGAAGCTGAGTTCGAGCTCGAAAGTGCGTGTGGAGGCCACGGGCCGTGGGCGGCGGCTGGTGGTGCAGCAGGCGGGCAAGGCGGACGCCGGGGAGTACAGCTGCGAGGCCAGGGGCCAGAAGGTCTCCTTCCACCTGGAAGTCACAGGTCAGTCCTGTGCTGAGCTAGCTGTGCAATTGTGAGGGAATTGGCTTTTGGTCTCACCAGACTATATGTGCACGTGCCTGTAACCTTCATCTCTTCTTGCCGCTCAGTTTTCCATGTCCCATCTTGATACCCATTTTGACCTGAAGGACGATGAATGGCAAGGGTGGCCTGGAAAGAGGAGTGGCCGTTTCTGCCCACCTGTTTCCAGGCAGTTAGGCTTAGTCCCACTGTCTTATCACCTGCTCAGAAGCTTCTTGTTTTCCCTGGTGTCAAAACCTATTTTACCAAAAGTTTTACTTTCATTTCAGGTTCAGAGAATTTGGTATCAAAAGAAACAGATCATTACACACAAATAAGCAATTTCAATATTTAATAGAGGTTTATTTAACTTAATTTCAATATATAATCATTAAAAGAAATAGAAACAATAGAAAAGAGTAACAGACTGTTGGTGGGAATGCAAACTGGTACAGCCTCTAGGACTGCAGAGCGAAGATTCCTTAAAATATTGGAAACAGAACTGCCATATAACCCAGCAATGCCACTGTTGGGCATGCACACCGAGAAAACTGAAATTGAAAGAGACACATGTACCCCAGTGTTCATTGCGGCACTATTTATGATAGCTAGGACGTAGAAGCAACCTGGATGTCCACTGGCAGATGAATAGATAAGGAAGTTGGAATACAATGGAATATTTAGTTCAGTTCAGCTCAGTTGTGTCCGACTCTTTGTGACCCCATGGACTGCAGCGTGCCAGGTTTCCCTGACCATGACCAACTTTTGGAGTTTGCTCAAACTCATGTTCTTCGAGTCAGTGATGACATCCAACCATTTCATCCTCTGTCATCCCCTTTTCCTCCTGCCTTCAATCTTTCCCAGCATCAGGGTCTCTTCTAGTGAGTCAGTTCTTCACATTATGTGGCCAAAGTATTGAAGTTTCAGCTTTAGCATCAGTCCTTCCAATGAATATTCAGGACTGATTTCCTTTAGGATTGACTGGTTGGATCTCCTTGCAGTCCAAGGGACTCTCAAGAGTCTTCTCCAACACCACAGTTCAAAAGCACCAATTTTTCAGCACTCAGCTTTCTTTATGGTCCAACTCTCACATCCATACATGACTGCTGGAAAAACCATAGCTTTGCCTAAGATGGACCTTTGTCGGCAAAGTAATGTCTATGTTTTTTAATATGCTGTCTAGGTTGGTCATAGGTTTTCTTCCAAGGAGCAAGCATCTTTTAATTTCATGGCTGAAGTCACCATCTGCAGTGATTTTGGAGCCCAAGAAAATAACGTCTCTCACTGTGTCCATTGTTTCCCCATATATCTGCCATGAAGTGATGGGACCAGATGCCATGATCTTAGTTTTCTGAATGTTGAGTTTTAAGCCAGCTTTTTCACTCGCCTCTTTCACTTTCATCAAGAAGCTCTTTAGTTCTTCTCTTTCTGCCATAAGGGTGGTGTCATCTGCGATTCTGAGGTTACTGATATTTCTCATGGCAGTCTTTATTCCAGCTTGTGCTTCATCCAGTTCAGCATTTTGCATGATGTCTTCTGCATGTAAGTCAAATAATCGGGGTGACAGTATACAGCCTTGATATACACCTTTCCCAGTTTAGAACCAGTCTGTTGTCCCATGTTCAGTTCTAACTGTTGCTTCTTGACCTGCATACAGATTTCTCAGGAGGCACATCAGGTGGTCTGGTATTCCCATCTCTTTAATAATTTTCCACAGTTTGTTGTGATCCACAAAGTCAAAGACTTTGGCATAGTCAATAAAGCAGAAGTAGATGTTTTTCTGGAATTCTCTTGCTTTTTTGATGATCCAACAAATGTTGGCAATTTGATCTCTGGTTCCTCTACCTTTTCTAAAACCAGCTTGAACATGTGGAAGTTCACGGCTCACGTACTGTTGAAGCCTGGCTTGGAGGATTTTGAACATTACTTTGCTAGCATGTGGGATGAGTACAATTGTGTTATAAGTTTTAACATTCTTTGGCATTGCCTTTCTTTGTTATTGGAATGAAAACCGACCTTTTCCAGTCCTGTGGCCACTGCTGAGTTTTCCAAATTTGCTGGAATATCATGTGCAGCACTTTCACAGCATCATCTTTCAGGATTTGAAAAGCTCAGCTGAAATTCCATCACCTCCACTAGCTTTGTTTGTAGTGATGCTTCCTAAGGCCCACTTGACTTCATATTCCAGGATGTCTGACTCTAGGTGAGTGGTCACACCACTGTGGTTATCTGGGTCATGAAGATCATTTTGTACAGTTCTTCTGTGTATTCTTGCCAGTTCTTCTTAATCTCTTCTGCTTCTGTTAGGTCCATACCACTTCTGTCCTTTATTGAGCCCATCTTTGCATGAAATGTTCCCTTGGTATCTCTAATTTTCTTGAAGAGATCTCTAGTCTTTCCCATTCTGTTGGTTTCCTCTATTTCTTTGCATTGATCTCTGAGAAAGGCTTTCTTATCTCTCCTTGCTTTTCTTTGGAACTCTGCATTCAGATGGGAATATCTTTCCTTTTCTCCTTTGCCTTTAGCTTCTTTTCTTTTGTCAGCTATTTGTAAGCTCCTTGGACAACCATTTTACCTTTTTGCATTTCTTCTTCTTGGGGATGATCTTGATCCCTGCCTTCTGTACAATCTCATGAACCTCCATCCATAGTTCTTCAGGCACTCTGTCTATCAGATCTAGTCCCTTAAATCTATTTCTCACTTCCACTGTATAACCGTAAGGGATTTGATTTAGGTCATACCTGGATGGTATAGTTGCTTTCCCTACTTTCTTCAATTTAAGTCTAAATTTTGCAATAAAGAGTTCATGATCTGAGCCACAGTTGGCTCCCGGTCTTGTTTTTGCTGACTGTATAGAGTTTCTCCATCTTTGGCTGAAAAGACTATAATGAATCTGATTTTGGTATCGACCATCTGGTGATGGCCATGTGTAGAGTCTTCTCTTGTGTTGTTGGAAGAGGTAAACTAAAAAAAATCCAGACTTAAACAGGACGCTGAGAAGTCTCTCATTAACAGCAATCTGGAGTCCCAATTGGGAAGAGGGCTTCAGCGGCAGTTCACTCCACTGATGAGAGTTCAAATTGCAGTTTGAAGTTTACCTCTTCCAACAACACAAGAGAAGACATACATACAATGGAATATTACTCAGCTATAAAAAAGGAACACATTTGAATCAGTTCTGATGAGGTGGATGAAACTAGAGCCTGTTATACAGAGTGAAGTAAATCAGAAAAAGAAACACCAATACAGTATATTAACACATATATATATATGGAATTTAGAAAGATGGTAACAATGATCCCATATGCAAGGCAGCATAAGAGACACAGATGTAAAGAACAGACTTTTGGACTCTGTGGGAAAAGGTAAGGGTGGGAAGTTGTGAGAGAATAGCATTGAAACATGTATATTATATGAAAAATAGATGACCAGTGCAAGTTCGATGCATGAAGCAGGGCACTCAAAGCCGGTGCTCTGAGACAACCCAAAGGGATAGGGTGGGGAAGGAGGTGGAAGGGGGTTTCAGGATGGGGGGACACATGTGCACCTGTGGTTGATTCATGTTAATGTATGGCAAAAACCACCAGAATATTGTAATTATCCTCCAATGAAAATAAATTAATTAAACAAAAGCAAAGAGTAACAGCACATATATCACCAGACTGGACTGACCAACATCCAGACTTAAACATCATGCTGAGAAGTCTCTTGTTAACAGCAACCTGGAGTCCCAGTTGGGAACGTGGCCTCAGCGGCAGTTCACGCCACAGATGAGACTTCAGATTGCAATTTGGGGTGCCCCTGCTTATAACCCCAGGCCGCATCACCAGTTTGCATGCAAAAATGCAGCTCTGGTTTTAGTTTAACATTTTTAGGGTGCTGTTTGCTTTATCTTGTGAGTCATAGGATTTCATTAAAACCCAGGCATGGATCCAGGGGCTCAAGAATTCCAAGACTCACTCCCTTTCTTATCTACAGTGCAGTCTGACTTGCTGTGCTTGCAGACAGGCAGGAAATGCGGGCAGTGTCCTGGCAGGTCACAAGGAAGGTCAAGAGCCTGTTCTCCTGCTTCTGAAGCCTGAACAATACCTCCTCCATGCTAATTTCCCTAAGAGGACTCTGGCACTCCCTGATACTTGGGGGCTATAAGGCAGGCCTGTGGATTCATGACTTTCCTCCCATCATATGTCTTACCTGAGAGCAATCACATGCCCTCATCTGAAACCTCGTACTTGTTCTTGGTTGGTGAGAGGTGTTTCAGTATGATGGATCCCAGATTAGGGGACATGTTGGCCACAAGATTTTACTTAAGCGTTTTTTCAGGAGTGAACTTTGGATGATGAAATTTGAGATTCTGGGAGGCCTTTCCTTCCTTGTCCTGGATTTAAAAGCTCCGGTTGCCCAAAGGTAGCAAAAAACAGGGCCGTGTTTTGTTGTCATGTCCTGGCAAAGGGAAGAAAGAGAGAATGATTAGTGGAGAAACACCTGTGCTATTTAGGGAGATCTTCTTAGATCAAATATGGTTTTGTTTTTGCCTTCAAAGAGTTTGGATGTTGCAGGTACGTATTCCCCTTGGCGTTACATTGTTGAATTTAGAAATGGAAAGGAAAAAGTGGCTTCTGTCACATCATTAGGCTTAGCTAATGAAGAGCTACTGTCCTAGCAGCCTCTAACTGGGAAAGCAATATTTTTAAAAAATTTTTTAATTGGTGGAAAATTGCTTTACAATTTTGTGCTGGCTTATGCCATAATACAACATGAATCAATCATAATTATGTATATAATATATAATTATATATATATTTAATTATATATAATTAATCAATACCCTCCTGAGCCTCTCTTCCCTCCCCCGCCCTCATCCCACCCCTCTAGGTCATCACAGAGCACCACTCTGGGCTCCTTGTGTTACTTAGCAAATTCCCACTATCTGTTTTACACGATTGTGTATATATGTTAATGCTGCTTTTTCAATTAGTCCCTCCCTCACCTTCCCTCTCTGTGC